TCTTTCCCTCTGTACTATTTCAGCATGCTGCTTTCCTCTACCCCTGTTTTTTCTGGTTTTCCCCTTGTAATTTCAGCATGTTTCCCCAGAGGGTCCTGTCTTCTTCTGAGGTGTCACTTCCACTGTTACCAAGGGAAGGTGGAATTGCACACCCCAGTGGCAGCCAGAAAGGGAGGCTCTCTTCCTTTGACAGGGTTTCCTGCTGTCTGGTTGCAGGTCTCTCTAACACTTTGAAAGTGGTCCTCAGTACTATGGAGGGGGTTGATTTTTATATACTTTTGTTCTTGCATCTGGAAAGGTTGATTTGCAAGGCAAGAGAATGGATAGTTTCTTTCTAGACTGGGACTGTGCCCTTTCCAAAGAAAGACCAGGGCTGTCATCAATAAAAATATTTAATTATCTGCAGGGGAAAGCTCATCCCAGAAGCCAGGATGACCTTTCCCCCCCTGCTGTGGTTGGAGCATGTAGCCCTTCTAGATTTCCTCTTGGGTTTCAGAAAACCGGTTCATTTTATATTAATTTGGACTCCGAGTATTTTGTGTCTATTGTATGCATTTGCAGTTTGCGGTTGTTAAGGAGTCTAACAGTTCTCTGGAGACTAAAGCAGTTGATCTTATTGAGTGTGAGACAACAAATTCTCATCCTGCCTGTCCTTCAGAATATGGTGAGTAGGATTTCCTTTCTTATTAGATCTCTCCTCACCTTTGTACGAGCAGGAATAACAGCTGATAGAGGAGACAGAAGAAATCAAAATTATATTTCTGGGTTGCTTATAGCTGCTGTGCACAGCAGAAGCCACGTTTGTATTGCTGTGAAGAGACCATTCAGTCCTTCCCTTTGAAGATTATTCTTGAGAAATTACACTACAACAGTGCTTTCACACTCATAAGAAGCCAGATGCTTCTCATGATAATAATAATAACTATATTTTTGCATTTTTATAGAACTTCACAGGTTTGCTTCTTAGCAAGTGAGTTATGCCTACAAGACTCATGAGGAATACCTATCCATGGAAAGATGCACTTTGACAATCCCTATTCATTCAGACAGGATAACTGACAGGAGTCCAGGTGTCCCCAGAAACCTTTTGCCCTGCAGCAGCAACTGCAGTTCTGCTTTTAGTGTCAAACATAGCGTTTGGTTACTGGGAGAGTGTTTGGTGCTTGAACAAAGATGACATGAATGAAGGAGAGGTGCCTCCCATCCCTGGCGTGAAGGCAACAGGCAGAACAGCAGGACACAATGAGTTGCCATGGCCCACAGGTTACCGGCTGGACTACTCTGAGTTTTAGGAGATGCTGCCTTATAGATGGCAACTGCATCTCCTAATTGCTCAGATGTTGAGAAATGATGGAGAAAGACTCATATTCTTAACCATTTGTCTTATTTACCATAGGTACCTCCCAACTACAGATGTTACTACAGAGTCCAGTTTGTATCAGTCATTCAGAAATATGCAAAGACAAATGTTTGAGGTTGCTTGAATGGGGAGGCATCTTGCAAGATTTTAAAAATTGCCCATCCTGTCCTTAGACATATGTTGGGAGATCATTTTATTCAGCAGTAGAAAATATGCCTCACATTTCCTTGGTTGGACTAATATTGTGAATGTGTGTAGAACTGTATTGTTCTGTGAAGGAAGCCTGGTGTTTCCCATTAGGAAGTTCTGTTTTAATTTATAGTTTTATCAGAGGCAGCTATTGGAACAGAAATTTCTCATGACAGGCTTTTTATTTTTTTCCTGGTTGAAAATTTTAGCAAAAGTGGTTCAACCATTTTAGACAAGACTGGTAAATAATCTGATGTCTCCTCCAACATGTTAAAGAAGTTCTTATACCATGCCAGTAAATAATTGTAAGATCTTTTGACTTTGGAGCAGGGGCTTTAATTTTGCCAGGCAGGTGGTCTTCCTGTCACAGGCATGCATTTTACTGTTCTTGTATATTAAAACAGAAAACCATGACCTTTGCCTAGGACAAATAATTTCTTAAAATGTGAATCAAGTTATTTGCCTCTTTATTGTTCTTTTGACATTAATAGGCTTTGCAATTTTCTGAACTTAGTTCTGTGCTTCCTTTCATAACTTTCCTCTCTCAAAACTGATGTTAGCTTTCTTTTAGCTCAGTTATTGCAAATCTTCTCAGATGACTTTTAGTAATACATAAATCTGTTTTCTCCAGTAGAAGGACACCCTATAACATACGACAAAGCAGCAGAGACTTCGGCAGAAGGGAAGACAGAACAGGGTCATCGACAAGAGGTTCCTGTTGGTGGGAAATTTCGTCAACCCATGGGAGCAGAGAAGGGCTCTCCCCAGGCTCCTTGGAGCATTCACCCCAAGCCCCTGCTGGAAAGGGAGCCCTGCAAGCTTGCCCCAGCCAGCTTGCTGATGCAGCCGGACTAGAAGCAGCCTGGGTTTGAGTGGGAAAAGGAGGAAGGATGAAGCCAGTAGAGCATGCGAACTCATGAAACACTGAAGCAACTCTCATTTTTTCATTAAAATCTGCTTTAGAAAAAAATAAAACACAAATCAAAGCAGAACAGAGAAGTCCTTGCCACTCCCTCCCTGTCATCTCTGCTTGGAAGAATTACTGTGAGCAATGTATTAGCAATGAGTACTCTGTAAGTGTAACTTCAGGAGTCACTGCTGCTAATTTCTTTAACTGCCTGCTAAAAGGACACTGAGGGGAAAACAGACTAGTGGGTTGTCAGAGATAAGTATTTTCTAATGGAGTTTATTGCAAGTAGTGCTCTTTACTTATATATACACGGAGTCCACAAAACTGCCTAGAAAACAGGCCACAGGCACAACTGCAGAGAAAATGGAATGGAAGATGACGCAAGAAAATGAGTTTAAAAGCAAATCTTTTTATTAAAATGTAGTTCATGGACCTCTCCCCAGCACTGCTGTCAGGCAAGTGTAACTTCTTTGACTTCACCAGAGATATTCTTGTATTTGTTTCTGTAAGTGAGCACTAAATGGGATCTTGGATTTCACGGGTTTGATGGGCTAGAGGATTGTTTGTGAGCAGATGGTATTACTGATGGTCATGTCTATCAAGTGAGAGGTAACATTTAAGAAGAAAGGTGGTTCTTCCATTAAAATTTCCAGTCCACCTTGGTCCTTCAGAGCATTACAGGATTGTTTCTGGATTGAGGCAGAGGGCCTGAGTCTGCTTTCAGCCCTGTGAGGCTGGAACTCTCCTACCTGGTCCGTTACATAGAACTTAGTGTGGACTTAATGATCTCCAAACAGAAAACACCTCAGTTTGGACTGACTTCCACATAACTGCTTTGTGCTGTCTGATAAAATCCATGGGATCAACTGGAAAACAACACAAGTTTTTCTTGTAACTGGCTTTCTAATAGCTACTGTTCCCTTCCTGTTATTTACTAAGAACTAACTCACTTATAAAGGTCTGTTTTATAAAGAGTTGTAACTTAGTTGTTTATTCATCTCAAGTGATTTTCACCACTGGTCTTGACTCCCTATAACTGTTTTCATAAGGTTTTGGAAGACATCTGGAAATCAGCTCTATTACTAATGAAGTTTTAATTGTAGGGAACCTCTCAGTTCTCTGTCTTTGAAGCTTACTACTACAATTGTTGGACGCCTTGTCTAAAATCCCTACAGTGCCCACCACTAGTGTTCTTAGTAATTCATTAGCTGGATAATAGCGGCAAATGCTATTAATTTCTGTGCTTACTATCCTGCTTTTTGGTTTTTTAGACTCTTGCCAGGAAGGTATGGGAAGTTACCATTTGGTTACCTGGTCTGTAGGCCAATGATGAGAAATTGTATTGAAAGTCTCTTACGTCTTGTCCAAAACAGTTACATGCTTGAGTAACTTTGCAGAGCCAATTCTGATTTATGTTGGTGTAAACACTAAGAATGTTGAGCCCAACGTGTCTGAGTTACAATAAACATAATGCTGTGTTGCTTAGAGAGTTGTCACTTGTTTGTCTTCTAAAGTGATTTTTGCTAGTGGCTTTGAATTACTGAGTCTGCTTTCTAATCACATCACTTCTGAATTCAGAATTAACTTGTAAAATAGGCATTTCCAGAGGTCAGTTGGAACCAGCTGCAATGAAGACTCATTCTTTTGTGTGAATGGCAACAAGGGTGCTTCCATGGACAAAGAAGTGGTTAAGGAGAGCTGGCATACTAAATTGTGCTCAGGAGAGGGCAACCACTGGGTTGAACCACTGCTGTTCAGTAGATTTTATTTTAAGCTCAATATAGTTTAATTTCATTAACATTGTTAAAAGCATCTTGTTTCGACTCTCTGGTCTTTCACAGTTCACCGCTGATCTTGCGTATTTTGATGGGAAGAGTGTCCAGTGATAAAGGCCCTTATTCAGTAAAGCATTTTATTTCTATGAGACCTAGAGAGGAAAATGACCTTGATCCTTGTACTTTGATTATCTGTGGTGAAACATGTTTGTATGCTTAAAATCAAAGTGTTGTGTTGAATGACAGTCAACATTTAGTTGGAAGTTTCCCCCTTCAAAGGAAATAGGGATTTGTAACTTTGAATCTTGTCTAAACAAAGATGTTTCAGACTCCTTACAGATTAGTTTCATGTTCTACCCTGTGTTTTGTTTATGTTGCTTTCATTCAGTCTAAGGATCTAATTTTAAATTTGATAGTGTTCTTTGCAGAATAAGATAGGAAAATTGAGATGATATGTTTTTGTAATGAGGGTAATTTGAATTTTAAATGTTTTCTAAACTCAGCTCTAAACTCAAAATAATCTATAGTGTAAAACCTTGAGAGGATATTTCAGCACAAATATAATATATTTGGTGTCTTTGTATGTTTATAAAGCTATTGATTTCTAAAATAAAATAAAATTTAAAAAGAGATCCCTGGTATCCCTCTTGTTTTGAAAGAAGAGAATGCAAAATTCTGGTTTCGATTAACCCTTGTCATGTTTGTTGGTAGCTCCATTGGTTTCATGCAGCTGCAGTGTGTAATATGTTGGTGCAGCACATGCAGATATCATGGGTTTTTCTTTCAACACTCTGAGAATCTACGTTAATGAGGAATATCTTCTGCAGCTTACAAGTAGATCCCAGCTTGAATGTGGTAAGTTTTTATTTACTATTTTAGTTATTCATTCCCATAAACCAGTAGAAGCCGTAAACTCCTTTCTGTGCACATTTAAATGGCTCTGTTATGACTGTTGCTATTTTTTTACTGGAAATATTATCCATGGCTTCACAGTATATTTTCATACTGTTCTCCAAGTTGTTATTCTCAGGCTTTACATGCAGATCAGCTGAAGTCAAATGGGTGAATCCTGGAGGACCCTCAGTTTTTTTGGCTAAACTTTTTTCAGATGTGCAAAACACCACCTCACCCCAAAACTTTTAAAATTATTAGACTTTCTGGGTATGTAGCTAACTTAGTATTCAGTTGAAATCCTACTGGTATACTCTGACTTTTAAAACTGAAATTAACATGTGTTATATTAAGCTGTAAAAGTAGAATTCAGAAATATGTGGGAAGAGAAAAGCTCGACAAGTCCGAAGTGAGAAAACTATTGGGCAATTCTAAAGAACAAGAGAGAAAATGAGTTTGTTTAGTTCAGTAAATCCTGACTTATTAAAATTGGCATTTCAATTCTCTAAAGCCATATTTTAATCTTAAACAAGTGAGTAATGATTCATGCTCATTTATAATGAATGTGGGCAATGCAATGGTTCCTAGTCATAGGAATGCATGACACATCTCATTTTGAGTCCCTTTGCAGTCACTTGCAGCTTTGTAACAGTTTATCTGTTTGGGCAAAAATTTTCCATCCTGGTAATATCTTTTGGGATGAAAATATTTCTAAAAAAATTCTAAGAAAAGAGTAAAAAATTATTTGGAATGGGATCAGGGGAATCCTCTGCCTTGTTAATATATATCATGTTTTTTGTCTCATTGGGAGTCATTTTATCTTGTGTTATTTCAGGGTGATGCCTATGCTGTTCAGTTAGTCTTCAGGACACACTTGGTGTTATTGCTTCGCTCTCTGATAACTTGCCATCTTTATCTCTGTGCATGTGAAAAGGAAAGATGTTAGTGGCATTAGAAGCCTTCCCCAGAGCCCCAGGAATGCACCCCAAACATAATCTGCAAGGGTAATGGCCTAAGTTGGCTCATGTTCCTCTGATCTTTTATTGAGACTGCTGTTTAATGCCAGTTTTTATGTGGAGCAGGAACAGCCAACTTTGTGAAGACCATTTATCATGGGATTAACTTTCAGGCACTCCGTAGTACTGAGGTCCTCCTACATTCAGACCAGTGAAAAGCCTTAGACCCTTCTAACCAGGCTTAGGGCCCCTCAACATTCTTCAGTTTCAAGGTTTGGAACTTGGCTTGCAGAAAGTTTTTGTATTTGGACCCTGGCCACTATTACGTCTTCCTCCTCAAGCCTAGATGTTACAACCAAAATGTCTTCTCCCTGCCTACTTTCTTTTTGAAGGAGATGGTTCTGACTCTTTTTTTCTATTAGATACGTGATGAAGCTAAACCAAAGCCTAGGAGGAATTTGTACACTTCATAGCTCAAGACCCTGTAGTCTGGTAGCTGCTTTTTTTCCAGGTAAGAGGTTAGGATATGTCTTCAATATTAATTTTAAGAACACCTGAGTCCTAGGCCCTTGTTTTTCTCACAGCCACTGCTGCATCACACTGTTACCTTTCCAAGCATCCAGCTTCATGCCACATGCCTTCCAGGAGCTTCAGTTCACAGATAGACTTGTCCATGTTACCCCTAATCTGCCCCCCTCTGTCTGAACCTCACCATATGCTCATTACAGGTTATGGGATCCTGTCTGGCAGGCACTTTTCAGTCCATGTAGCAATATTGGCCTTACCCACATGGCCTTTTTCCAAACCAATTTGGAATGGTTTTAAAAGTAAGTCAAAGTTACCATGTAAGGGAATTTCTCACTTTTATGTGAGTAGCTACTGGAAACAGAGCAGCTGGAGTCCTGGTCCGTTAATAAGTCCCTAGGGTATTAATAAAATGCAAACAATGAAAAGAATACTTAATAATTTATAAAAGAATTGGCTACTCATGACCATATAAAAAAAAAGATTTATTAAAAAAATAACAGTTTAATAGCTTCTAGTTTCATGACCCAGCAATTTCTGTGTGGCTCTGGGCATTTTATTGATTAAAACCAGCAAGTTTTATGTGCTGTATTCAGCCTACAGAACAGTGTGCACATTTTAATGGACATGATCTTTGTTAATATTGATTGCACAAAACAATACGTCTGAGTATGCTGTAATAAAGGGAGAGAATGCACAGTTGCTATTTCATTAGTCTATTAACAGTAGTTAGTTATGTAAAAGTAGTGAAAGTGTGCTATATAGAAATTTATCCTTTTATCACTCAAGAAAGAAAAA